GCAGCCTCTTTACGTTACATAGACATAGGAAAGGTGAAAAGGAATTAGGGAGGGTGAGGGAGGAGAGCTTCAACTATGAACCTGTAAATCCTGCCATGTGCCCCCTCCCCACCCAGTATATTAATTGGCATAAGTGAATTGTAATCAGGATGTAGTTATTTGGGCAGTTTAAATTCCAGTCTGAGGGTGAAGCAGTCTATTGCTGTAATGAGCTCTTTCCTCCCCTTGAGGCCCAGTCTGGGCTGCTGGCCAGCGGTTGGTGTGGGGACAGGGGCTTTGGAATAGGGAGGGAAATGACCCTTTGTGGTGTTCAGTTGTCCCCAGAGGGTTCACCCACTTCCCTTCCCACAGATCTCCCAACAACACGAGGGAAACTTGTATTTGCCTCTCGCCAGGACTGTTACTTCTGAGTTCCTATTACTCGTTTTTATGACAAATACTGACAAGAGCTTATGATTTTTATGTGGCATTTTACTAGCAACAGCTGGAAAGGAGCGGTCAGCAGACTGCGTGTTTGCCACACTGTATCATCAATGCTTGTCCTGTTGGGTCCCATGAGGGAGGATAATAAAGTTATCCTTTCTCTTCTCACACACATCAAGAAAATCCCTTTAAGAGTCATGCATTTCTTGACATCTCCATGCATCATTCCTTCACTTTAAAAAGTCATTACAGTTCATTATATTTGGCATACAACGTTATACTAGTTTGAGGTGCACAACATAGAGATTTGACATTTATATACCTTATGACGTGATCACCACAGTAGGTCTAGTAACCATGTGTCCCCATACAAAGTTACGATGTTATTGGCTATAGTTCCCATGCTGTACATTCCATCCCCGTGGCTTATTTATTTTATAACTGGAAGTTTGTACCTCTTAGTCCCCTTCACCTTTTTCACCCACTCCTCACCCCCCTTTTTCTGGCAAGCATCTATTTGTTCTCTGTATCTATGAGTTTCAAACAAAACAGAACAGAAACAAACTCCTTCCACTTTTTTGTTGTTACTACATTCAGAGTTTGTCCCGAGACCTGAGGCCTCTCTGAGGTTACTCCTTCCCTGGGGCCTCTCCTTGCCCCTCACAGAGTCTCTCTTCCTGGTACATCTCAGTCTTCTCTGATGGAATTCTTTGCTTCCCCTGAAGTGTCCTAGTCATTTATTTACCCAGGAGAAGCTCCCTAATCACCTTTCGGAGCCCCCAGACCCCAGATGTGATTGCAGAAACCAGAGGCAAATGCCCCTCAAGTGCTCTGTGTTGTACTAACCTGTCTTGCCAGCATCCTGACTAGGAAAATACTTGCTGCATGGCTGCCAATAGCAGAATACAGTAATTTATATGCATATTCTTTAAGTTAGGGATGAAATGCCATTGACCCTTATGTGGAAGGTGGGCTTCAAAAAATCTCCCATAAAGCCCCAAGCCTGAAAACTTTCCCACAGAGAGATCTGGGTGTGAGATAGCTCTCTCTAAATAGTTTTTTAAAACTGCCTGGGGAGGAATAATACGATCACTCACTAGTTTCTCAGTGCGATGGGGCATAGACTAAAGTACATTCAGTGAAGAATAAGGGCATCCAGGATTCTATTTTGAATACCCTTTTTGCAGCTTGTTTAGCAGGATTGTGGGGCTGATAAGAATTTATGGGTATGGGGTGAGGTTCAGTGGACACTAAAATACTCCCGAGCCTTCCTTCCATCTAGGTCTATGAGGAGGAGGCACTGGGGTCATAGTTTGCAAACTGAGGTGCTCATGCCCTTTTTATACTTATCCTTGCAGAGGGGGGACCTCAGAGGATGAACACTACTCATCCAGATCATTTTTAGATGAAAAAAAATTATTTTTTTTGCATTAAAACATGAATATATTTGGGTCCAAGATGTAAAATGCACATAAGCTTTAAAGATAAAAGCCTGATAAATAATAGCATGTTTATGGCTAGTTGCTCAAGGCTAACCCTCCATGTCTCCCAAGGCTACCTGCCTTTGCTGCTGTTAAAATTATTTGGGTAGAAAAATTTAAGACAGCGTTCTAAGGTGGGTTCAGAAAATTTTTTCTGTCAAGCACTGGATTGTAAATGTTTTAGATTTTGTGGGCTCTGTAGTTTCTGTCACCTTTAACTCTTCTACTGTAGAGTGAAAGAAACCATGGACAAGGTGTGAATGAGTGTGGATACATTTTAATAAAACGTTATTTACCAAAACAAGGGAGGGCCAGAATTGGCCTATAGGCTGTAGTTTGTTGACCCATGTTCTAAGGCAACTTCCATGTATTCACTGGTAAGTGTATTAGACAAGTGCATCAGACACACTGGCAGTGTTCCAGGCATGACTGGCTCCATGATTGGTGGGACCCAGTGCAAAACGAAAATGTAGGTACCCTCGTTCGGAGTTTATGAAAATTTTCAGATGATGACAGCGGTAATCTGAAAAAAAAAAACCATTATAGTTAATTATAGTTGGCATGCAATATTTTGCTAGTTTGAGGTGCACAACAAGTGTGGTGCCCTTCGAACCCAGGCATCTGGTGTCCACAGAAACCAGCCCTGCATCAGGGCCCCAGAGATTGTGCTGGATAAGCCAGAAGTTTCCTATTCTCCTGGAACCCCCTATCTCGGTGGGAAGTTCTGTAAACTTTCTAAATATTTTGTATCAAGCACACAGCAAAGGATTATACTAGAAAGCTTGGCCAAGTCCTCATCTTTTTGGAAATTGCCGCCATTTCTGAGATGGGTAGTGTGGGGACCTAGTTGAGGCATGTGGATCAGGGAGCAATTCTGGCTAACTCAGGTCCTGACACCTCCAACCCTTCTTGGCCTGAGGGGCAGGGGTCATTGCTCAGCCGACTCAGCCTTTGCAGGGTCATTTCCTGGACCAGTTCCGATTGAACACAGCGTTCAGGAGCATCTGCCGCAGTTAGTTTCAGATTAATGCTTCTGCCACAGGCATGCTTTTCTCCATGTCCCCATGGAGCCCTGGGTGCAGGACACCGTGGCTTCCCAGCCCCTCTCATGTCTGCCCTGCTCATCCAGGTATGGTGTAACTTGTCAGCGTAGATCCTGCACATTCTTCCCCCATTTGTGTAAAATAAACATACAGATACCCCTATATATAAACTGAAAGCTTCCAGAAGGATATGCAAGAGACAGTGATTGTCTCTGGAAAGGGTTCTAAGCATCCAGTGTGCAAGATTTTTATTGTCTGTCCTATTATTAGGTGCTTCAGTGTTTTCTATTTTATTGTAATACCTTTTTTATTTTTATTTTTTTTAAATTAAATCTTTATTGTTCAGATTATTACATATGTTCCTCTTTTCCCCCCCACAACTCCCCTCCACCCAGTTCCCACCCCACCCTCCGCCCTCACTCCCCACCCACTGTCCTCATCCATAGGTGCACGATTTTTGTCCAGTCTCTTCCCGCATCCCCCACACCCCTTTCCCCACCAAGAATAGATAGTCCATTCCCTTTCTATGTCCCTGATTCTATTATAATCACCAGTTCATTCTGTTCATCAGATTATTTATTCACTTGATTCTTAGATTCACTGGTTGATAGATGCATGTTTGTTGTTCATCATTTGTATCTTTACCTTTTTCTTCTTCTTCCTCTTCTTAAAGGATACCTTTCAGCATTTCATATAATACTGGTTTGGTGGTGATGAACTCCTTTAGCTTTTCCTTATCTGTGAAGCTCTT